TTCTTTTGCTAAAAAAGATGTTCATTACGGGTAAAACTTGAGAAGAAGAAGTATCATATGATGTTGCCTTTTTATGTCAACAGATCCGTTTGACTTTTTTCTCAATTATTTACGAGAAGGTGGAGTTGAACTCTCGTATTCAAAGATCTAATATAAGAGATAATGCGACTTGCATGTGACGGGTATGCGCGTTGCTTGCTTTCTTTGATGACATATATGATTTCTCAATAAATATCTATGAGCATGTAGCAAAGGAGTGGGAAGGGCACTTGCCCACCATTTAAGGATTTTTCACGATGCTCCTTATGGATTATTTTATGGTTTATTACTTAATAATTTTTTAATTTTACACTGGATGAAAATAATTTCTACATCCGTCACTGTCTATTAGTATCAATAGTTATATCTTTGCCTAGATCACTTGGTTATAACTTGACTCAAATTCCAATTGGTGTTTATGTTTAATTGGTGTAACAACTATCACACGTACGGTCTTGACAAGATCAAAACATGCATGAGATGAAAATTGAATGCACTGATGCACCTAAGCCCGCTAGCTCTACTTCGAATTTGAATTGGATTTAATATAAATGTGGTTTTTTGTCAACTTTTTTTTTTCAACCAAGATAAATTCGGTTTAAAGGAAAAATAATCATATATATACATGTCTAATTACAATTTCAGTACGAAATATTTTTGAGCTAGTTTTAAAATCAGATATCCAATAGTGTGATGGTTATCCTAGTGAAAACCAAAAAAAAAATTGATGTGATTTGGTTTAGAGAATCAACAATTTTTAAAGATATTTGAGTATATTTTCGGGTTAAGGGTTAAGTGGACATATTTTAGTTTGGTATGAGACTAATGATTAAGTTATTCAAAATAATGATGAAGACAACCTTCTTTCGTGTAGAGAAAGGAGAGGAAAAAATTAATCTGTGCGTAGGTTTATTGGAGTGAACAATTTATGGAGAGTTTTAGGACTCAAAACTCGTGATTATTCAACGTAAAAGATAGCATTTCACACACTCTTGATTGTTTTGAAAACACAAGGCCGTAAAAATATAGAGAAATTTTAAAAAATACCACTTTTGAAGTGCCACTTTTTAAAATGCCACATTTTCAAAATCTTTGCAAAAATGCCACATTTTCAAAATCTTTGCAAAAATACCAATTTTCAGAATTATTTACTCAGTATATTATTTATATTTGAATTAACTATGTTGTATTAGGGTTTAGTTTTGAGGGTTTATAAGTTTTTATGGGTAAACATTTTTTTAGGGTTTAGAATTTTATGATTTAGGTTTTTTTTTAATGATATTTTGGCAAAAATGCCACTAGAGATTGTCCATAACTTCTATTTTACCTCTACCCACGCAAATTTATTTCCCACAATTTAAAAAATATTGCCGTAATCTTTGCAAAACCACATACATAATAGCCAACGGTGGGCACTTGGTTAGAAAATGGGCCACGAAAATTTGGACTTGTTGGGCTAGAAAGCCCACCACTATTAGGCCAGGCCCATACCTGATTTTTGCCAAGAGGGAAATAAGGTTTCAGGTTCTCTAGGTTAAGGAGGAGGGGCGGTTGGTCTGGGAAATGGATCGACGGCGAGCAGACTGGAGGGTTGGACGTCGGAGCTCTCGGCGAGGGAGAGGGTTTAGCCGGCGTTTTTTTGCTAGTAAATCCAGAGAGAAACAGGGGAGAGTAACACGGCAAGGAGGCAAAGAGGAAGCGGAGAGGCTGAGTTGTAGGTCCCGTGCCGGAGCACAAGCCTTGACCGAGACAGACGGCATCAGATCTCGGCGAGGGAAGGAGTCTTGCCGTCAACGGAGCATGATTTGAAGCCGTCGACTGAGATGAAGGCGAGGTAACGGTGGTGGTGATAACACAGAAGCAGTTGTGGAGAATCAGTGAATCGCGGAGGGTCCGGCGGGTCAGGAGGCTCGGACGGTGCCGAAGGGTTCAGAGGCACCGGACATCCATCCACCGACGGTAAGCGAGGGTGAGTAGATCTGATTTGATTGTCATCGCGGAGGAAGGAGGCGGGGAGACAGGCATCAGAGGGGTCTCACAGTCGTGTCCTCGATGCAGGTTCCGATCAAGAGAAACGAACTTCAAACTCGCCGGAGATACACCGGAGGAAGGAGCATGTTGGAGAGGCGGATACCTTGGGGTCTGTGCCTGAGAGAAAACGCCTCAGGAAACACTCTTATTCTCATTCTAAAAATGTATTCTTCTTTTTCAAATTGATGACTTAATCTCATCATCAAGTATGATGTCATGTATGCATAAAGATACGGAATTTCTTTTAGGTCAAAATAACCAAATAATTTGTACCGTTCAATATTCTAATTTGGCTCTAAAACATACATCCAAACTACATCATTGGTAGTATGCTGTTACCACGATATATTAAGGACAATAGTATTGGCCAATGTCACATATACAAAATAGAACGACATCAAATAACCTTTACAATAACTACAAATAATATATACATAAATAATCAACAAGTCTAATATAGATTAAAGTTTATATAACAAAACAGAATTTTACAGAGAACAAATACACCAGGAATTTTCCAAACATAATTTTTCGAAGCTCAGCAA